GGGCGGCGGGGGAGAGGCGGCAGAAAGCGGGGCGAGGAGCGGGGCGCGGGGGGGAGTCAGCGGCGGAAGGGCAGCGCCGGGCCGCCCAGGCCGCGGCCGTTTCGGGCGCCTGCCCTCGCCGCCCCGGCCCTCGCCGCCCTTTCGCTGCATCAGAGGGTTTCACGGGAAGAGCCGGCAACTTCCTCAGGTCCGGCTCCAGCTCGATCATTAGGCAATTAGAGGATTTTTATGAGATAGGAAAAAAAAACAATTTGAAATTATAAACTTTCCCCAGTTGAGAGCTCTTTTGGGGCATTCACTGGTGCTCCCTTTAAATAGGGACGCCTTTCCAGCAGGCTCAGTCGGTGCCTGTGAGCAGTGTCCCGCCCGGCTGCCGTGGGCCCTCCGGCCGCCCGCTCCGGACACGTTCAGCTTCGGTGAGTGCGAGGGTTTAAGCAGGGCTCAGGGATTAGGTGTGGACGTCCACAGTTACGTTAGGCAGCCTGACACTGGGTGCGTGTGGGTCAGATCAACCCTCCTGGCATAAGCAATTTGAAAGGGCTTCCTCTAAACGCGCTTTATTCCTCGACTGCCCATGGCAAGGAGCCTGCGAGGCCGCTGGAACCAGCTGCCGGGAGGAGACAGACACTTGGGTTTACCTAAATACATTATTAGTTCAGCAGTTATTTTAATACAGTTGTAATTAACGTGAAATGAATGCAAAGAACTTGCTCGTTGCTTAATAATGGAGTTGGAATACTGCATGGAGCGCTGGCAGACCTGCAAGCACTGAATAGATGCAAAAATACTCGAGAGCTGTGAGGGAGAGCCTGGGAGCTCCGCAAGCCTTGCGAGGGCCCCCCAGCTCCCCACATCGCTATTTCTGAACGTCGTCCTGTGTTCTTCCCGCAGGGTCCTCAGGACGGAGATATCCCGGTTCGGAGACGAGCCCCTGAGCAGCAAAGAGGTATTGCTCGTAGGGTCTGGGAAGCACGACCGGGGCGTCACAGAGCACCGCAAGGAAACAAACCTTCGCTCCAAGCGCCATAATATGCTTTTTCCATCCATGCTGCTTCAGTCCGTTGTCTGGGCCACCAGCTGATGAGATGGCACAGAGCGCTGAGCTCCAGCCAAGCTTCGAGGACGTTTTTAATATTCTATCCCAGATCCCACAAGATAAACTCCTTAGCCTCAAATATAAACTGAAGCACTTGATATTTGGGCCCAGCAGCAAATTACTGCAAGCCATGGTCCTGCTTACTCTGGGGCAAGAAGCGGATGCAAGAATTTGTTTGGATGCCTTGAGAGATAACCGGGCAGCCCAGTACGTCCACCAGACCAAACTGGGCGCTGCAGGAGTGCAGGCAGATGGGGAGGATTTGCAGCCTCCCCAGCTGGATGCAGGTGCCATGGCGCTTTTGGCACAGATCTACTCAGTGCTGGAGAAGGAAAAACTGTGCAGCCACGAAGCCACAGACAGAGCCTGCCAGGCTGCCACCAGAGCCTGCAACGCCAGCAAGGAAACTCAGGGAGACACGCTCAACAGCATCCCAGCAGAGGACCAGGAAGAACACGACTCTGCTATCAGCATAGGCCCAGGTGACAAATTTCAGACGCTGAGATCTGATGAGGCCCTAAGATTTCTCCAGACGGCCAGCCCAACCTACGTGGTGAGAAGCTCCCCAGTGCAGATTGGAGGCAACTCAGACCTTTCAGGTCCACGGACCTTGTGCTCCTCGGGGAGTCCCTCTCTCCCCAGTCACTTTGAGGTCAGTGCGTCGCCAACAGTTGTTTTTCACACCCAGCCTTCTTCCCACAAGCGTGTCCCCCAGCCCAGCCGGCTGTGCGAAGGGAGCACCAGCGGTGCTGGACAGCCTGACGGGGACAGACAGAGCCACGGCCCGCAGGAAACAAGCTGGGACAGCAGATCCAGCTCTCATCCCGGGCAGGACACTGGTGCCCAAGTGCCCCAGCCGGAGAAGGTTCTGCAGGTCAGTTCACGTCCTCCAGCTCTCCCTATTCCTGAAACGCAGCTGCCCACGCTGGGTGCTCTGAACCAACCTGCCGAAAGCAGTGATGTCTCCAGCACAGTGGCAGCAGAACCTCACACACCAGAAGAAAACACAGACAAAAAGCGAGATGAAAAGCGATCAGCTACAGGTGTTCCTGCCTCAAGGGCTACAGTGGATACTGCTCCTGCCCACAAGTCCATGAAGGACTCCGAGGTTCCAGCAGGCATTCCTTCTAACTCTGCATCTGCTTCCATTTCAACCTCTTCCCTTCCTCCTCCTCCCTATTCCTCCTCCTCAACCCTTCCCCCTCCTCCTCAGGGAGTTCCTTCCAGCTTCTCATATCCCCCTCCCCTCCATGGATCCCCCTCTCCAGCCTGGCCTCCTCCTCTCCAGACTGTAGAATCAGTGCCCACGTCAGAGCCAGACAGTGGGAAGTTCTTCACTTTTGTTGTCCTGCACGCTAGTGAAGATGAGATTATTGCCCATCGAGTCAAGGACCTGCTGGAGAAGATGGGGGTTCCCAACGGGGCCACACTCTGCGAGGACTTCTCCATTGCCGGACGCAGCCATCTGACTTGCTTCCAGGATGCTATGGAAAACTCTGCTTTCATCATCCTGCTGCTGACCAAGAACTTCCTGTGCAACCTGTGTATGTTTCAGACAAACACCGCTCTGATGGAGTCCATCCTGAAACCATCCAAGCGCGACTCAGTCATCCCTTTTGTGCCCAAGGAGAACCCGCTGGAGCGGAGTCAGCTTCCCAGCACGCTCGGCGGGCTGATGCCCTTGGATGAGAACTCTCCTGGGTTCTCCAGGATAGTGCAGAACACCTTTACCACCAGCAGGATCAACCAGAGGAAAGCCATGTGGGAGCTGATGCAGAGAAGGAAACTCCAGGAACGGTATCAAACCCTGCAGAACTTCGCTGCTCTGAACCTCGGCTCCCTTCCCCAGATGCCTCCATCAGCAACGCGGCCACAGCTGCTGGAACAGCCACCCCGACAGTGGTGCCCCCCGGCTTCGACTGTCCCTCCTGCCGCGTACCCACCTCCCGCCGCTGACCACCCCATGCCTGCTCAGATGGGTCCCTCTCCTTTCCAACTTCATCTCCCACCAGGCCACTACATGATGCCAGGTCCAGGAAGCATCCCGCCCCTCATCATTCAGCATGCTCGAATGGTTCAGATTGGGAACCACAATGTGATGCAGGTAGAAACTGTCACACCGGGGCCGCAGGACAGCGAGGCAGAAACCAGGTAGAATGCCTGAACAGAGATGCAGCAGGTCAGCCAAGGCCAGAGACGCTCACACTTCATTCAAACCCGAGATTATAGTGATTCTGCTGGGATCGCGACTATTCTTATTTCACTGTGGGTAAAAGGTGCCACTTTCTTCGAGCACAGGAGAAAATTACCTTCTTTTTTGTTGGGCAAAAAGGGTTGCAATCTCCTGCGACTGTTCTCCTTGTGCTTATTTTCAAGTAACTGAGAAAACTCTTTTCCTGATTTTGAGGCCACTGGAAGGTTTTATAAATAAATTTTAATTAATTTATTTGTGTTTCTCTGGTTCTTTCCTGTAGAATTAGCAAAGCGGATTACCAGGAAAACTGTTCTGCACGTCTCTACCTCTGCGGCGGAGCGGGCTGGGAGATGGCGCACCGGGGTTCTGCTTCATCCGCTGCTGACCAAATCATTTGAGGCAAAATCTTCAGGGGATGCTCTGGGGAGTCGCTGCGGCCTCCTGTCAAGGTGCTAAGCACCAGGAGGTCCCACTGTTTTCTCCCAGTCCTCTTTGCTCAGGGTTGCACAGTATCCTCTCGGCCTTTCACGCCAACGCCGGCTCTGCGTGCGCGGCCCGCTCCCCTTGCTGCAGCGCCCCAGCAGCGCCATTTCCCCCCCGGCCTCTCGCATCAGCCCCAGGAAGGTGCAGGAAACCAGCGTCGCAGCCTTCTGAGAAGCTGCAGGCCTCTGGGCTGAGACATCAAAAGATCACTTTTCCCAGTTCCCCTCTGAAACTGCAGAGAGAGAAGTTTTTTTGTTTGTGAAAGACAAGATTCCCATATGGCCCTGGAGGCACAGCTTGAGGGGAAGTATTTTTGTGTTTAAGAAAACTGTTGAAGAACTGAGATTACACACCAGACAGAAGGCTAAACAAGAATCTTTACAGTAAAGCTGTGTTTGGGAAACAAAAATTACCTAATGAAGGTGGAATGAGAGGGGGCAAATGCAGAGAAAGTCCGAGGAGGCAGAAGCTGAGTGTTTGCTCTTCGGACCAGGGCCCTGTCAGACTGGCTGTTGCACAGAGGATGTTCCCTACGGAGATTACCCACCTCTTTATGTTATTGCCCTTGCAGAAAAAGTTTGACAGAAAAACAAAAGCATCGAGCAGAGCGTTACAGAAGGGGTGGAGAAAGGCCAGAGGGGGGGAGGTGTTCTGCAGGAGCTGGGTGAGGCCTACACCAGGCAGATCTCTACTGAGCTATTAACACAAGCAGGGCACCTGAAGCAAAGCCCCAGACCCTACGCTCTTCCTCCGACGACTTCTGTCGTGGCCGTTTGCCTGCTCTGTCAGCAGAGGTCAGCCCAAAGCCACCAGACGATTAGAAATGGGACTCCTCGCTCTGCGGACCAGAGCCCAGCCAACAGCACCCAGCTCTAGAGTCAACTCACCCTGCGCCGGGGCCTCTGCGAGCCGCAGGCAGCGCTCGCCCTACTCCTCGCCCCAGGAAGGAGCCCGAGAGCTGCCAAGCCCTCATTAAGCTGGACCTCGAGGGCCGGCGCGATTGATACAGGGGAGGTGACCCCGTTTTGGGTATTTCTGCAGATGTGCGTGAGTTCGGGTTGCTCTGAATAGCTGTCCCAGTGCGTTTCAAATCGAGAGGAGCCAGCAGGCTCTGGCAGTCAAAGCGCAGGACTCCCACAGGCCATCCTGGACCTGGGACTACCCAAGCTGGGCACTCACAGTGCCTAATTCTGGATTACAGTCTTTGTCCAAGAACCATCCAAGCCCTACAACCAACACCTCCATTAGAAAGACATCAATAAGTCCTTGGAGAAGACCGTTCAGCTGACATTAATGCCCTCTCGGGGAGCACTCTGCTCACCAGGCTTAACACCATCCAATTCTCACTCTTCCTCTCTGGCTCAATTTACCGCAAGCTCGTTCGACACAAAGCAGGCCCTCCCGAACAAGTACCAGCCGACTGAATAAAGCTCACTGCTGAGACGTGGATCCCCAGCACGGAGGAGAGAGCAGAATGGGAGTCCCTCCTTAGTCCTGGCTCCTCAGACGATAGCAGGTAACAGTATAAAGGAGGACAGTCCCCTCCACCTGCCCTGTGCTGAGAGCTGCGACTGCCGCCTTTTTATTTTTGAGCAGCTTATGCGCCTCGAGAGGGGCCAAGGATGTCTGCAGGATGATGCTGGAGAGCCTGGGCACTGACCAAACTTCAGCGCAAGCTCTGGAGCTCCTGGGCACCACCAGATGTAGGAGCTGAGAGCTGACGTGTCCCTACTCTCAAACTGCAACAGCGCAGTGGCCGTCACAGGTTTGGATTTAAATCCCACAGAATTTCCTCTTAAGAGGCCACAGGTCCTTTCTCACGGATCTGGCCACGGAAGGTCTCGCTGCCTCCCTCCCCGCCGCCTCAAGGAGGCTTAGCTCCTCCTGGACCTCCTTGGCTGAGAACTAGCACAAGACACCAGGCTTAGACAAATCAAAGCCCTCTCTGTCCTGACCAGAACAGGAACCACATAAAAGCATTGCTATTTAAAAGCTGCCATCAGTTGTTGGCTTCCAGCTTTGAAACAGTTTGGCTTTTAACTTCGAAGGACCCAGTGACAATGGATTAACTCATTTACTCTTCAGAGTCTGCTGGAACCCTCCAAGTGCTTGGATACCTTCTGTTTCCCTATTTTCTCTCCTCTACGTCACCTTTGTGCAAATAGGTGTTGTGTTACTGCAATTCCTGTCACACTGCAGTGGCTGCGCAGCCACCGGGACAGCCCCTCCCCTTGGGAGAAAGCACATCTATCACTCCTTCCCCAGCTCTTCTGCTTTCTATAAATAAACGTCATGCAAACCTAGTCAACTGGAAGCTGCTCTAGCTTGTAAACAACCTCAACAGAGTCACATCAAGTTTGCTTGGACCAGGGAGAGGGAAGATATGGCAGCAGACTGTAAAACATTGCAGGGTTGGGATTTTTTTTTAAGCTTAGTGTGTGGAGGGCCAAGGCTCAAAGGTTATTGGGAGCAACTTCCACTTACGAGCCACAGCCCCGTTTTAACCGCGGCAGGAGGTTCGCTCTTCCCACATTGTCAGGGCCCTCTGCTGTTGCTCACCCTGGAAAGGGAGCTTTGCCACCAGGGCCTTGTTTTCACCAGGAGAATCCACGTGTCTGCGAGCCCCCCGTTCTTCCCCAGTTTCTCTGGGAACCTGGGAAATGCTGACCCGGTATCCCTGTCTTTATGCTCTAGGCCACTTTCTTTGTAAACGCTGATCTTACGGCATTAGGAGGCTCCAAAGTCCATAGAAGGGCACCAGCAACTGGCTCCAGGAAAACCCCTGCGCATTTCTCACCACTTTCACATTTCTAAAGAAACCTGTACGGGAGGCTTTAATGTCAAGAGGGCCAATTACCAGCGTTAGAGAGAGAAAAGCACATCTTAGGTTTTAAGAAAGGAATAAAAGGCAGCCGTTTTGTTCGTGGCAGCGTACCGAAGGGCTCCTGGAGAGCAGTGTGCTACAGGAGGGTCTGTAGCCACCCCAGGGAAAAAACCTCCACTCTCTGTCCAAGATAATCACTCAGATAACAAAAGCATCGCTGAAACATTGCACTGCTCCCCACAACTCCTCATTTTGCCGCACATACTGGAGCTGGCCCAGACCACACCTACAATAAATAAGGACTGTTCATTGTAATTACCCCTAAATTCACGCAGTGATTTCTCCCACCCAGTAATTATTATCAACATTTAATTGCTGGGTCCTTACTATGTAATTACAGATTATTTATGTGTTAAAAAAGAAAAAAATTAAAGCCCTTTTCTATCTCACACAGTGTTCTCCCCCTTGAGGCTTCTGTTCACAACTGGATCCCCCAGCTACCTGATCACAAGCTCGCGGCTCCAGAGCGGCTTCCCCACCCCAGCTGCGGCAGAACTCCCTCCTCCTCTCTCCTCCCAGCAGCTCTCGGGACGGGACTGCAGTCAGAGAGCACCGCAGGCAGGAACGATCGGCCGCGGCCCCAGCCCCGAGGTATCCGGTTCCTGGCTATCCGGTTCCCTGCACCTGCGGTGGCAGCCGCTCACCTACGTACCTGCAGATCCCCTATGGCACAGCAGTAGTATTTTGATGGGAGAAGCGTGCCCCACAGAACTGCAGACACTGCTTTAATGTCGTGTCTAGCACTTTCAAAGGAAAGAGAAGGCAGGAACATTGTTCAAACCATCAAGAATTATTTTTGAGGATGGAGCAATCAATGAAGGGACAACCATTCACATATTTTATCCATCTGCTCCCATCCTCCTTGGGGAAGGCCGAGCATTTTTTTGAAATCCAAATTCTTGTGCGGAACTAACTCCAGTACCTTTAATTCCTCTGTCTGCTTTTGACCTCCCACTGACAGCTCTGGGGTTGAGAAACACAAACTGATGACAGCCACACTGCATCCCTCCTCCTGCTTGCTGTGCCCAAGTCCCAGCTGTAGGTAAGGCAGGCAACATCCCAGTCAACGGAGCAGCATCCTTTCACAGTTTCATTTACATCAAAAGATAAGGCAAAGTATAGAAAGAGAGGTGTCGCTTCAGGGTCAGTGTTATCCTTTTTCAGGGGAAATGTTTGCAATTGCAGTACAGATTAGCTTTTCCCAGGAGTAAATTCAGATGAAATGAAACAATCAATCTGTTGATTGCAAACGCCCAGTATTTCCGTACCCGCTAGTGTACCAGCCCTAGGAAACAAGCTGAAAATAAAGGCTTACCAGCAAGAAGTCCAAGGCACTTGCATTCTAGCAGCCATTTTTTGTTTTATTATTTAAAGTTAAGAGCGCTCATCAGCTCACAAATTAACAAATTCCATTCCTGCAGTTTAGTTCAGGTTTCAGCCAAAAGGAAAAAAAAAAAATAGAATGTAGCTAAACTAACTCTGCAATTTACATCTCAATAAAAGTTAAACCTCCTTGCTTTATAAATAAATGTTATAGTTAACACTGCAAAAATGTAATGGCGGATCTACAATATCTTTAAGGGGCAGAGAGCATTGGATTATTGAGGCATACGGATATGCTGGCTTATAAATACAAGTAGAGAAGCTTCAGTAGCATATAGTGCATGGTTGTTTATCAGGGTTCTGCTCTCCCAGTCTTGACCTTTCCCAAATCTCAGAGGCAGCTGCTTCACCCCCAACTGTGCTTTCCACTCTGCCCGGGGCCAAGAAATGAGCCACAGGCTGCCAAAGCCCCGTCACTCCCCCTGCGAGAAGATAAACTGCTGGAACAGCATCGTGTTTACCAACACTGACTGTTTACCACCAAGGAGGGTTCTGCTAACCCAGGCAAATACCTACCCTGAGACTCTGCACTTAAAGAGAAAGAGCAAGTTGTGTGCAGATCCTAATTAAAGAAAGGAGCTTGCCCAAAGAGTAGCCAAATGAGATTTCAAATTCAATCTTTGAAACAGCACCATCCTCAGTAAAGTTGCAAAAAGAATCAAAAGCCAAAACCAGATGCTAACAACGCGCTCCACGTAGGTTTTCAGAATGGGATAATTAAGAGAGCCCAATCGGTTGATACTAATAAACCTCAGAAGAACAAGAAGGCACCTTTAACTTTCATTTCTTTCTTGCTTCTTCCTTCAGCCCACCCTCACGCAAACACGCCACCAACACTCACTTGCTTTAATAACCCCGCAAGCACCACCCACGCTACAAGAACCTCCCGTCCTAGAGGGCTTGCAAGAGCACATCCTCAGAGATGGCTCGAAGTGCACCGGTTTGGCTCGGAAACCTGGCCATATCCACCCTGTACAGCTCAATCCCTGCCGACCTCTGGAGCTCGAGGACCTCCGCGCGGGGAGGGGAGCGGACGTGTGCAGAATGGGCGAGCTAGGGGCCTGAACGCCACATTAGGATTTTGGTTTTAAGGTAGCAGCTTTTCCTCCCCATTCATAAAAACCAACATCTATTGATGAAACTGTATAACCAGAACTGACCTTACTATATCTTACAGGATTGAAGAAGTCTTGCAGCATAGATAGGGCCTGGCTCTAAAAGAGAAAAAATAACCCAGCTTTATGCACCATCGTTGAAATCTCAGGCCTTTAACACCACTTGCTACTTGGCCAACCAAGGGAGAATAAAACCCGTCCTCAGCATACCCAGCCCTACTGCCATGCAAGGCAACTACCTCAGCAGAGCACAAGCCCCTCGGCTGTTAGACTCGTACTGTACCGAATCTGAGAAGGGGGTGGGGGGAGAATTAGTTGGAAGATTATTTTATTCCTCACTTGCATTTCTATCTGTTTGGTATTTGGGATGGGAAGGGCTAGAGCACGTATGTGATGTGTAGCTGCTCCAAAGCTTAACGCTGAGTTAATCCAGCACTAATGGGAGAGGCAGCAGGTCCCAGGGATCTCCATTTTCCTTCCTTCTCAGGACAAGACGGTTGGCATGGGAAAGGGCAGGGGCTGCGGCCTTCTCTGGATACAGTGCACTGGAGATATCTGGTACCTGAAGGTGACAACAATGAGGGACAGCCATGAGCTCTCGAGCCTCCTCCTCCCCTACCCCTGCGCACACCAGCCTGATGGTGACAGATGAGGACAAAGCTCGCAGCCCGTCTCAGCGTGGCGACGGCCTTCGGCACCGAGGCAAGGATGGCCTGGGATCTCAGGCTGCACTACCTCTGCGGGGTGAAAGAGGTGATGCGAAAGGCTGGGGACTTCAGCTCTCCCGCCCTAGTGCAGTTCAATGAAGGCTTCCAGCTCCTCGGGGATGAAACCCTTGTAGGGAATCTTGTGCTTGTCCAGGGCTCGAGCAGCAAGGCACTGGAGGGTGATATAGTTGAAGGGCTGCATCATGCTCTTGGTGAGCAGCTTCTCATCCAGCAGCTCATAAGCAGTCTGCTTGAAGGCATTGGTGGCGTCCATATGGGCTCCAGCCTCCATCAGGGCACTCATGATCAGCGGGCAGTTGTTGCGGGCAGCAACGTGCAGCGGGGTGTTGTTGTCATAGTCACGGCTATCCGGGTCAGCCCCGCACTCCAGAAGCAAGTTCACAACGTGGAGCGATGGGAACTTGCCCACGGGATAACGTCCCACTGTTGTGGTATCTTTGTCCACAGCCATATGCAAAGGAGTGAAGCCATTCTTGGCCCGGGGGCTGCACTTTAGCAGGCGGTAGATAGTCTGGCGCTTCTGGTGTTCCTGCTCCGGGGTGCACTCCACCTTCTCCAGCAAGAAGACGAGGTGGAGGATAATGGCCAGCGTCTTGGTGAACTGCGCCGAGTCAACTACAGGGTCCTTGCCATGCACGAGCGCCCTCTCCACCTCCCGGACCCCTTTGCTCAGTACTCCCATGAGGTCAGAGAAGCCCAAGTGAGTCGCTAAAGTGCCTTTGGAGCGGTCCTGAAGCACGTAAGAGAAAAGCTCAGCAAAGGAAAGGAAACTGCTGGCAGTCATCGGGCTGAGAGGCTCCAGGTTGCCTTGCTGCATGTCCAGAGCATACTTCCACAGGTTAATGCAGCGTTCGAAGTTGCCGGAGTCGGCATAGACTGCCCCTCGGTAACGGATGTAATAGGAAGTGTCTGGGTGGGAAGGCCCCAAGATGCGCTCTCTAATCAGCAGCGCCTGCATGCGCATCTCATCCGGATCAGTAATCAAGGCTTCCAGTTCCTCCAGCGAACTCACTTCCCGGGAATAGTCGTAGGCCAACACCAGCTGCCGGGGCTCAGGTTTAGGCAGGTACTGCCCGCCCTCACACCGAAGCTCCATCGCCCTTCGCCAGTACTTGTGGGCTCCCAAAAGGTCACGTTTCTTATCCACAAATGTCGCACCCAGCAACTCCAGCGCTTCCACAGCAGCCTCTCGAGTGCAGAACACGTTAGGGACCTGCTGCTCATCCTGACTGGAAGCTGAGGCACAACATCTCTCGCACCCCTCTTCATCGCAGCCCTGAGGAGTTTCCTTGTCAGTGCTGCAGCACCTCTGATGGCTCCCACCTGATGCACAGGTCCCATTTTGGTTCCCTGCAACCTCCTCCTCCTCCTCCTGCTGCAGCCCTCCTTGGATGAGGTACTCCACGATGTTGGTGTGACCAGTGACGCTGGCAGCTAGCAGAGGAGTCATGCCATAGCCATCTTTCTCCATGCGGGCCTTGGAGCGGAGCAATAGCTGCAGGATCTCCAGGCTGCCGGACTCAGCGCAGTCATGCAGGGCCGTATTCCCCTTCACGCTCCGGCGGTTGACATCAGCCCCTTTCTCTAGCAAGTAACGTGCGATTTCCCGGTGCCCTTTGTAGCAAGAAATCATCAAACAAGTGTGTCCGTGCCGGTTGGCTACTTCCAGGTCAGCCCCGCGCTCCCCAACTAAGTAGCGCACAATCTCCAGGTGCCCATCGAAACAAGCAGCCCGCAGCGGCGTGGAGTTGGTCAGCGTGGTCTGGTTCACCGAGGCGCCGTGATCCAGGAGGCTGCGCACCACCCCCAGGTGCCCGGCAGCGGAGGCCGCCCAGAGCGGCGGGGCCCCCTCGATGGTCTCCCCATCGAAGTTGACCGAGCCCCCCTCCTCCACGCGGGCCCCGCAGTGATCCAGCAGGTACTCCACCACCTCCAGGTGCCCGTGCCGGGCCGCGATCAGCAACGGGGTGCTCCCTCCCCCGGGGCCGTCGCCCCCGCCGGGCCCCGCCGTCAGCGCCTCCAGCTCCTCCCGGCTCCGGCTGCCCAGCAGCTTCTGCAGCAGCTTCAGCTTCCCATCGCGGGCCGCGTTGTACACGGCCGTGCGCAGGTCCATGGCGACGGGGGCCGCGGCGACCGCACCGGCCAACTCCTGGCCCTGGGCCGGCCCG